ACTTTGGGTCTATAGTACGCAGCCTTTCCCTACATTTCTGTAAGAGGCTGTTTCCAGGACTTGAACCCATGACCTCATGGTCACAAGGCAGCAGCTTTAGGATTTGAAGTTCATTATTAGCACTAAATAACTTTATACCTAATGTATGTGCTTTATCAAGTTTTTGAAGGTTGTTTTTTCTTTTACTATTTGTTAGTGGGGTTTATCCTGACAGTTGTTGAAAGTATTTTATTTGAAAGGTTCAGTTTCTTTGTTAGCAAACATATTATGCAGATAGTAAGTCATTGGTGCCATGCCAACATGGTCCAAAGACCAAACACGCTAACACAGTATGTTACTCTGTTCATTATTGAGTTAATAGTTCCACAAGTATGTGTTTGCTGACAATTCAAGTTGAGACTGAAAATAAAAGCATGGACATGATAGTTTGGCACCACGCATCAGATAACTAACTTATACTCCAAGGATAGCTGCCTGAATCAATCCAAGGGGCATGGTATGCTAGTTGCTCTTGATTTTAGGTCAACAGAAGACAAACGGTGATTTACCTGACAGTCGTTTGAATATCTTGAGTTGTTGTGGGTTCGCACATTGTTAGCTAGATGGAAATAAGACTAATTTTCTCCAAAATTGGACTTAATCATCATGCTCATAAGTACAGAATTATGACCAACATGAAAATAGTTTTAACTAGTAATCCAATGGTATCACTTTTGTGTGGCAAAACTATGCATTGTTGGAAAGATTCATGTAACAACATACTGTCTGAGCCTTGACACAGGCAAGAGCTTTATAAAAGAAAGGACGCCACTACTGCGCGACTGCTGCGGCGTAGCCCTGCTCAATGTGACGCCAGCACATGCTCACTCATCATAATCATCCACTAATGGATGGCCGGATCAACTGGTTTCGTGGCCGTTGTGCCCGAGCGTTATTAGACCCTGAACGTTAGCTCCATAATCTTTTCCGTGGAAGAAATAGATGGAGCCTGCACTTACTAATTTGATAGCCATCACGACTTGTATCTTTGGCTTAGCGAATACTAGTTTATGTCTAGTGAGTGTAAGCAAGGTTCATTTTTAGTATTATATCCTTTTTTTTATTTGTTTATTATGCACCTGCACAAGAATTGATGATCTTAAACATTACATAGGATACCTGAGAGCTGAACACCTGGACTTGAATAACATAGTTCGTCTCCTTTCCAGGTTGCATTACCACCAAGGAGCTGGGAACTGTCATGCGTTCCCTGGGGCAGAATCCCACTGAGGCAGAGCTTCAAGACATGATCAATGAGGTGGATGCTGACGGCAATGGAACAATTGATTTCCCTGAATTCCTCAACCTTATGGCCCGCAAGATGAAGGACACTGATTCTGAGGAAGAGCTCAAGGAGGCATTCCGTGTGTTTGACAAGGATCAAAATGGTTTTATCTCTGCTGCTGAACTGCGCCATGTCATGACCAACCTTGGTGAGAAGTTGACTGATGAGGAGGTTGACGAGATGGTCCGTGAGGCTGATGTTGATGGTGATGGCCAGATCAACTATGACGAATTTGTTAAAGTCATGATGGCCAAGTAAGTTGCATTACCATCTGAGGGAAGCTTGAGTAATCAGACCACAATATTACCTATCCAGGTGCCATTTTGTGGGATGGCTATTGTATTAAACCGAAAACAATATAACACTGTGCTGTGTCATATGTTGTAGGCAATGATTGTTTGCCTTGAAGATTTTATAGATCCTGCTCTGGTCTTTCTGATTTTGTCTGTTCCGTTTTTTTATGTTTGGTTCGTCAACTTTTCAAGAGTGTAGCCACAATCTGTTAATGAATAACTATATGTCAGTGTTCCATGATTACCCCTCAGTCATTGAAGTGTTATACTGTATGTGCGTCTGATACAGACATAGCTTGCATATTTTTTTGGTAACTATATAAATGAATATTTCTGGTAATGGAAGTGCGGTATCTATAGTTCTTCAGCTTGAATGGCTAAGATTGTTTTCTTGCTTTGTCAATATAATAGAAAATTATTGTTTCCTGGCAATTCCCTATTTGGTGCCTGCCCAAACATCATTTGTTTTTGAGAGGCCAAAACATCAAGTTTTTCTTATCTCATGCAGTGCAACCCACACAATTCTCTCTGGTCTGGGGAACTATATTTCATGATTTCCATAGCATCTCCGTGCGTACAGCTTCATGATCTTTGCTTTGAGAACTGCTAACAGCACCATGACATGCCATAGTCATGAAATGATTGTTTGAACAAATGAACGACGAGGCAAGTGTCACCAAATAAATAATAATATACTCCCTCCGTCCCAAAATAAGTGTCTTGAGCTGAGGGAGTACAAAAGACCGTAGTCCTATGTTTCTCTCCTTAGTTCTAGCCCCAATAGGGCAACTCCAACGCCAAACGTATGTGGACATATCTAGACTTGTCTGCGGACGGACAGCGGTAGGGGAGCCGGCCATCCGACCCGGTGCATCAAATCCATCCAACTCGGTGCATCAAATGTCCGCCCAGGTTCCGGCCTCCTCCATTTGAGAAGCATATGTAGATCAATAAAAATTTAGTAAATATAAATGCAAACATATGCAATCACAACCAAAAAGCGTCGGATGTTCATAAGTTTTTTATATGCAGCCGATCCTAAAAGTTGCCGGTTTGTGCAAAAACTTTATTTTTTGCCTTCCAGTCCGGCTGTCCATGTCAAATTCTTCATTGTGTGTCCGACTCCTCAGAATTGGCTGCCAAGCACTTCAACATCCTAGCATGGTAAGCTTGCACGATCTTCACTGCATCGGGATCCAACTCCAGCATTTTTATGGTCAACATCTTGGTCTCCTCCGAACCGGTCAAGCTCAACCTTCTTCTGTTGGAGCTTGACTTGTCAAACCTCTCGGCCTTCTTCTCCTCCACGCCATTTGCGCTTGACGCATGCCTCCTCCTTTGCCATGATGTCCTCGTACCTCTCCATCATCTTGGCGGTCGCCCCTTCTTGCTTATCCTTCTCCTCCTCCCACTTCCCCCTCGGCTCCTAGTCATCCTTGTGGCCGGAGCAAGGTCTCCTTTTGTTGGATCACAAAATTCATCTACATTGGCTATGGAGGCGGTCTTGACGGAATTGGCAATGACATTGAGCCACTTGGGGTGCACATTCAATTTCAACCAACAATGCATGAAAATGAAGTGCTTCTTCTCCGTCTTGAAGAACAATTAGCAGGCGGAAGGTACGGCAGCACGCCGCGCCTGTGGTTGAGCCCGTGCGTACGTATGTGTTGTTTTCTATTTTAAAATGAAAGAAGGGATGTCAGTAGGTTTGAGGCCGAGCTAGTTGCGAAGAGGCCCTTTTACGTTGTTGTTTATTGTCAAGTCCTTCAGCAATAGCTCTTAAATCGTTGTTTATCGCCAGTCCTTCAGCAATAGTTCTTCCATCAATGATGCCTTGTTATTAATGGAAAGGGTAACAGTTAGAGACTGCTTCTGTAGCCGCCGTTAACAGTAGCTTTTAAATGTGTGCAAACTCAATTAAAAAGAATGCAATTGATATGCTCATCATCTTAAAATATTCTGGGAACTAAATGGATATTCTACCATGAGCCGCACACTTACAATAAACCGGTACAAAGGGTATGTATAGTTTTGAAGACATGGAACTTTTTTCAAGAATCAAACCATAGCAATGGCAGGGTTATCATGACGAATAAAAAAATAGAAGCATATGTGAATATTCAAGATCACTCTTTATCTGAAATGTAAAACCAATTGATAGTGCAATTGCAAATATAATGAAACAAAATCTATGTTCTAATTGGTAATGAGATGTAGCTTTTAAGTGCCAACTATAACGCTTCTAATTCTCTACTCGACTTTCACATGATAGTTGAACCCTAAAAATAAAGCTTTATAAAATATTTATTTCACATACACAAGTGAAACTGAAATGACTAAGTGAACTAAATTTAGTAGCCTGAACAGATGTAGAGATGGAGCCTACTTATTTTTTACCTCACCTACTTCTGGCCAACCTTCCTCCCGTGCAGCAAGTTAAGTTGTCATGCACTTTCAACTTCGACCAAGCAAAAGTAAGATGTCGATGAAGCACAAATGAAAAGGGCAGAAACTTATAATAAATTATCTCCCATTGAATTATATCCTTGATAGGAAAAAGCAGAAATACAAACATGTAAATGCGCTCCTGCTTTGTTGTATATCCTTGCCTTTTCTCATTCTGTTATGTATTGTCACTACAAATAATATAGAAGCAATTTCAACCTGTTCGTTGATCTGTTCCGGACCATGGTTCATCTATCTATAATTGTAGTTCCTAAGGAGAACAACAATAAGCATTGCACATCTTTTTACCACGCATTTTGTAGATGGTTTGATGATCTAATGCCAACATCCTGGTTGAGCTTGTTCAATGCAAATGAATATAGCCTGGTGACCATCTCATCCTATATTGATACTACCGGAACACAATTTCCATTCATAATATCTCAAAATCAAATGAAATGTTTACGTTCAAGATCAGGTACTTTGTAGTTTTTTTACTCGTACAATTTTGACTGAGCTACATTGTTGTTTTCTAATGTTGATGTCATAGTCTACCAAGAAGCCTAGGGTTCGCCTAGTCTACCTAAAGGGTTCCAAGAAGCGTTACCTCAAATTCCCGTGAAAGACACTGATAAACTACTAAACTACCGAATGAATATTTGTGTGCTAACACCTTTAGCATGCAAGCAATTATTCCACCTCCCCAGTCACCTTGCAAAATATGACCAAGAGAATATTCATTCCTTAAATCCACATATTGGAACCATGTAGTCATTTTGAAGAAGTATAAAGTCTTACGATCTATAGGCTCGAGCCACGTCCATTCTCTAAACAAAGAAATTGTTTCACTAAATATGTATAAGAATTGAAAAATAATGTAAAAGTACGACTTCAAAATTTATGGAAAAAAATTCAAGAAAATTACTTGCAGAATTGAACAAAGAAAATACCCATGTTCCATTTAGCATAATAAATTACTTTATCCTTGTAGGTAACTTAGCCCTGCAATCTAATTATAGGAGAGCACATAAACAATCAACTTATATTTTCAATGGAGGAGATAAACATACAATCTTTTGTACAGATTCATATCTTATAATTCAGTGTCGCATGAATTAAACATGAGCTCCAAGATAAAGAATCAAGACAAGTTGCACAAAGATGTATCAAAATCCAAAATACTATCATGTAGTAAAGAGATATAATATCTAAGCACTTACACCATACTTGAGCCTGTGTACCAATTATAGCTTCAGATGTTCTCTTAATAAATGTGTAAAATGAGTATGTATCTTAGGTGTTTAATCTTTAAATCATCACTGAGCCTTGCCAAAGATTTTAGCTCCAGTTTTTATATCTAGTCGGACGTAAGGGTATCTACTTTGTAATGAAGTGAATGAAGTCGGCAGCAGCACACACACAATTTCAAAATTTTGATTCACTTGCTTGAGATTTGCACTCCTATGGTCAAACTAGCAAAATGAAAGATACACCAATTTAACAAATATCAACAACTTTATGTCTTGCTATCAAATTAATGTATGTAGATTTATGATAATCAATTTTATGATACCAATCATTATTGACTAATTGTCAAAAGTTTCACAATCTAAAAACACCCACTATTATTTTGTAAAACCTACAATTGTGAATGTTTGCACTGAGAAAAAGAAGTCACATGTTCTCCCATTTTTGTGAACTTTCGAAGATTCTAACATATTGTGAATGTGCACAAGTAAACTATATGTAACTTCCTAGTAGTAGATAGAATATACACTATTATATGTTACCTATTTAATTTTGCACATATGCAACTCAATATTGATATGACATATTACTTGCAAATTCTTGAAACAATCATGAGGATTTTTTCATTGTATACAACAGATTCTAACATTCAGAGAACACAAGTTGGTATTTTTGAAATGATTTGTTTTTTGCTTTTGCTTAGGACTACGATGTTTGGCATCCCTTAGTTCAAATTATCAAATAACAGTTTCATGTTCATATATGATAATATCTTAGTTCACATTACCATCATAATCTCTGAACCTAACCAAATGTCTGCTATGATTTTGGCATCTATAATGATTGGCACATCTTAGTTCACATCACTGCGATCGTTAAATAACCAAGAAAAAAAGGAAATACTATTCATTAAAAAGGAAATACTTTTAATGAAATCTGGCATACCATGGGGTCGAGGAGCCAGCTAAGGCGAAGGAAAGCGACCGAGGAAGGATGGCGAGGCTAGCAGCTCAGTGATATGTCTCCAACGTATCTATAATTTTTGATTGTTACATGTTATTATATTATCTGTTCTACATATTTTATATGCATTAATATGCTATTTCATATTATTTTTGGGACTAACTTATTAACCTAGAGCCTAGTGCCAATTTCTGTTTTTTCTTCTTGTTTTTGAGTTTCGCAGAAAAGGAATATCAAACGGAGTCCAAACAAAATAAAACTTTCGTGATGATTTTTCTTGGACCAGAAGACACCTACAAGACTTGGAGT